GAATATTAAAGAATGTGTATTTAAAGGTTGAGATTTAATAAAATTAATGATTTTTTCTGTTTCCTGGAGGGCATTTTAAGGTGCAGCTGCCTTGATTCATGCTAAGGCATCGTCAATTTCATCATATATATTTTTTCATCACCAGTTCAAATGTCAACACGGTGAAAAATGCAAATAACCTTTTCCAGGGTCTCAGACTACATTTTCAAAACGGATGCTCTGCCTTATGTTTCATTTATATGAAGCTTAACTTACCTTTGAAATTAATTTGCATGTCTCTCTCCCTTAGTGAGCAGACTATTCTGACCTTTGGCAGCCAGTATGAATATGAGTTATTGTACTGGGTTGTAAAATAACCTGAGGGGCAGTACAGGTGCTGTTAAACCTTAAATTAAACCAGGAGGCTTTGTAGTTAGAAATTCAGCTTGCTATGCATTCTCTGCCCTCGTATCAAGTTCTAGCAGCCACCAACTCTGCTGTTGGTAAACATTTCCTTAGAACTCTTTTTAGAACTTTTCAAACATTGCATATTGAACTAATTTACCATAATTTGTATTTATTTAATTTGATAAATTAAATGTTCTCCTAAAGGAACTTCTGTACTTTTCCTTGCAAGCAAAGTACTGTTTAGTGATATTTCTCCACTGCCTCCCTTACACCTAGGGCAACACTTTCATTCTAGATACTTAAGCTGCTGGAAGTCTGTCTACTATGTGGAAGGAATTACCATATTGTATGTGATATATCATTTGAATACTTTAAATCCTCTTAATTTCTAGGTAATTTTTGGAAGAAGAGTTGTCAGATGATTTTGGAAGAGTTTACTCATCTTTTAGCAAGGGCTTCCTGGCTCTAGGTCTGTATACCACACAGTGACACAGTGTGCCTAGCGAAACACAGGACAAATGAACACTTAATTTTCAATTTCTTTGTTGGACAAATTAACCTGGAAAATGCAAAATTTGCCTTTCTTTGTGATGCTTATAGATAGGAAATGTGTGATCAAGTGTATGAGATTGGTTGTGGTGTATTTCCGACTAGAAATAAAAGTGTTCAAGATTTACTTTTAATTGTGAATTTTTATTTACTGGGTTTGGGTCTTCAGATTTAATCCAGAAATTCTGTGTAACATCCACTCTCCAGGAGATGTCAATATTTAATGCTAGAGCAATGTTGGAAAAATCAAAGCTTAACTATCATTTGAGCTAAGTTTTGTTTTCTAGCAAAAGAAATCTTTTTGGAAAAAATGCATAATCTACTTAAATATTATTAAAAGTCAATAAAAACATTAAAGAAAATACAATTACCAGTAGTATCATGCTTTCAAACAGCTATTATTTAAAAAGATTACCACTTTTTCTTCAAGCTCTGTTCATGAATGCCTGATTAATTTTTTACTTGTAGCTTTTAAAAAAATTCTTTCTTTTCATTGTTTTGTTATTTGACAACGAACTTTATTTTTCAAAAGTAGTTTTTGACTTGACAGAAATTTGCAAAGACAGTGTGAAGATTTCTTAAATATTCCATACCTTTGTTTTTGTATTAATATAACAGTGGGTTGAACAGTGATCCTCAAAAGATATGTTCAAGTCTTAATCCATGGTTCTATGGATTTAATCTTATTTAGAAATAGAGATTTTGCAGACATAATTGCAAATCCTGTGATAAAATCATGCTGGATGTAGGATGGAGTTTAAATCGAATATGACTGGTATCTTCAAGGAAAGAGACCCCCACATAAGGCAGAGACACACAGGGAAGAGGCCATGTGACGATGGAGGCAGAGGTCCGAGTGGTACAGTAGCAACTGAGGAACATAAGGATTCCTGTAACCTCTAGGAGCTAGAAAGAGACAGGAAGAATTGTCTAAAGTCCTCAGAGGGAGCATGGCCCTGACCTGCACTTTGTTTCCGGAATAGTGAGTGAATAAACTTCTGTTGTTTTATACCAGCCAGGTAATTCATAATGGTATCCCTGGAAGACTTAGAACATCTACAGTAATATCAAGGGAAAAAAAGAATTGAGATGTGTTATGTACATATACCAATTCCCTGCAATGAATGTCATCATTATGTACTGAAGACGTGCTAATAACAGTTTAAGAATTAATAAACCAACATTAGTGCATTATTATTAAGTAAGGTCCATATATTATTCAAACTTTTTATTTTTTACATAATGTCATTCTTCTGTTTCAGTATCCCATCCAGGATATCACATTACATTTAGTTGTCTTATCTCTCTAGGCTCCTTTTGGCTGTGACAACTTTTCAGATTTCCCTTTTTTTTAATGATTTGACAATTTTGAGGAGTAGTGTTCAGGTATTTTGTGTAATGTCTCCCAGTTGGGATTTTCTGATTTGAATTTGGGTTATGTGAACTTGCAAAGAAGACCACTGAAGTAAAGTGCTCTTTTCACCTGTCATATCCAGGGTACATACCTGCAGGATTTATCACCTTCAATGTCAGCCATGAGCACATGGTAGAGTGGTGTATTGATTTCTTCCTTGTAAAGTTATTCTTTTTTACCCCTTTCTATATTGTACCTCTTAAAGGAAATTTCTATACACACTTTCTACACATAAGGAATAAGGAATTTGGTTTGGTTTGTTTGTTTGTTTTTGGTATCGGGGATTAAACTCGGGACCTTGTGCTTGTGAGGCAGGCGCCAGAATCACTGAGCTAAATCCCCAGCCCAGGAGTAAGGAATTTGTATAACACCTCCTTGAGGGTAGAGTAGTTATAAAAATTAATTAGGATTCTTCTGTGTAGGAAGTTTGTCTATTTTTATTTATTATTTATTTATATCGGTATAACTCATGGGTACTTATGGTTTGAGATATAATCCATACATTTTTATTGTTGTTGTTGTTGTTATTATCATTGTTAAAATGGTTTGAGCTTTGACAGCTGGGAACTCCTTCAGTTGGCTCCTATGTCTATTTGGATATGCCACATCATTGCAAGGTTTTGTTTTTTTTGAGAACTTTATTTGAGGCAGCATAAGATGCTCTGAGCTTATCTTTTGTGTTTCCTACTGCCTTAGTCCTAGAATCAACCATTTCTGCATGCAGCCCTGGTTCTACTCATTGGAGAAAGTAACTAGAATCTGGGCAGTTGGTATGCTTGTTGCTGCTGGGCCATTGTTGTTCTTGTTGACAAAACAAGAGAATAAATGTGTGTATACAAATTTGTATAAATATACATGTCTGCAAGTAAGTCTATATGTAAACATTTCTGTGTATATTAAGCTAAATAGAAGTTCAGACTGATGTTTCCAACTCTAATCCCTTATCATCTGGATCATTTTATTTTAATTAATTAATTAACTAGTTTATTTGCTTTTTTGAGACAGTCTCATCATGTAGTTTAGGCTAGTCTTGAATTCATTACATAGCCTAGGCTGGCCTGGAACTCATGGCAACCCTCCTGCCTCAGGCTTGAGAGTGCATTTCAGGTGTACACCACTACACCTGGCTACATGGATTATTTTAGGATCCTCCCTTGCTTATCTGTAAACTCCTATGTGAACAATGACAAACTGGCTTGTACCATTCTCCATTTATCTACTTAATTTTTAATCCCAATATCTGTATATAAAAATATCAGAATTGTTAATTCATATTCCTCTGGCTTACTTTATTAGTAAAAGTACAGTCCTAGATGTATAATTTCTTCTGTCTGTAGTTTTATATCCTCTGCTTATTTTCAGTTACTGAGATCAGCAACTTCCTTCTCACCTTTATTAGGGAGGTTGTTTTATACATTTCTAATACAGTTAGATTGTTTAGTTATAATTGAGATTTCACCCTGGGATTCTTCCTGACCTCCTAAATGATTTTCTAAAATGTATATTATGTTAACATTCACTCTTTGTGCTTTAAATTTCTGTGGGTTTTGCCAAATTCATAATATCAAATGGCCACCATTCCAGTATTATACACCAATATTCTACAGAATAGTTTCTCTACCTCCAGGTCTGATTAGTTTTTATTTGAAACAATTTTAAAGACACACACACACACACACACACACACACACACACACTGCAGAAACTACGTTATTAACAACCAGGGGATATATTATAAAGAATTTGTAAATGTTAACGTTTTGTTATCTTTGTTTCTTATTTTTTAAATAAAAAGTAAAAGTTATTAAGTTCTTTGTACTTTTTCTTCATTTCATTTCTTTTCCTCCCTACCCCAGGGTAGTTATTGTTATAGTTGTGGTCTTTGCAGTTCATAAGTTCGTAGTTTACTAGATATATTTGTTATCCTAAATAAATAATGCAGTTTTGTGCATTATAGCTAAACTGACATAAATAGCAATTTTGTATTCACCTTTCTGAAACTTGCTTATTTTATATTCTCAATATTATGTTTCTAAGATCTATATATGTATCACAAATTTTGTGTTTTAATGGCTTTATAGTGTTTAGTTATATAAATATACCAGGTTTTATTCATCTGTTTTTCTATTAATGATCACTTTGATTGGGGTTTATTTCTGGTATACTTCACTTGCTCTGTGAATCGTCCATGCATGTCTTTCCATGTGCTTGTGTAAGAATTGCACAGAATATATAACTGGAAGTGAAATTGTTGAAACAAGTGACACGTACATTTTCCACAACTGGTCAGTTTTCTTCCAGTGCATTTTTACTCCTCTCTCCATTTCCTTGGCATCCCTGGGTATTGCTGACTTTACATTTCTGTCAGTCTGATGGGTTATGAAAATCATCTTTCCCTCATTACCAGAGGACATGCAGTCAATCAGGTCATGCTCTGAGCAACTAGGAACAATTTGGACAGATTTGGTTTTTTGGGTTTTTTTGTCCTAGAAGCTATTTGTTGCTATTTCTTTTTCTTTCTTTTTGTTTTTGCGGTACAGGGGATGGAACTCAGGACCTTGTGTTTGCAAGGCAGGTGCAGTGCCACTGAGCTAAATCCCTGGCCCTATTTTTTGGTATTGCTAATAATTTTCTTATGTTATTTTCAAAGATGTCTGCTTATCCAGGATTTACAAAAATGTTTTGGAATTCAACAGCACCCAAATTTGCTGTTCCAGAGTCTGTCATGAAGGAAACTATATATCCACAATATGAGGTAGTGTATTGAATGAGTTTTCTATATTATTATTGATAATTGAATTTAATAATGGAATTGTATAATTGCATATGACATTGTATTATGCAAGTTGTCAGACGACTGTTGCCATGGACAGGATTGATTGGATAGCACGATACTAATTTAATATATATACATAATTGTAGTATGTATCATTATATGTAGGTCTATAAATATATGTCTGTATATTTACAAAAGTATAATTTTGTATATTTATATAAGATGTAACTAACATATATTTCTTTAGAATGTTATACTTATCCATGTTACTTTAGCCAGACAAAAAGACTGTCCTGTTTCATTTTTAGATATTTTAATATTCTATTTCATATTTTATTTGACTGAGGATTTGAGATATAAAGCCATATGACTTGGTTACAGAATATTCATGGCATTTTAATTTGTTTTCTTTTTGATAATTGAAGAAAATAGAATATAATTTGTTACAAATTAGATAATTATCACTGTAGATTTTGTGGATACTTGGAGGTCAATTTTGTTGAGAAATCTGCTTAATTAGGAAAATGTTTACAATGAAAATGAACTTAGTTTAGTAGCTTGCTTCACATTTCAGGTGTTTTAAAGAGCTATGAGGTTTCCTTTTTCAAGGAGTTGAGAGCTAAGGCCCTGTTTCCATTTCATAGGAGATGGATAACTGTGCCAGTTAATCTTAATTGTTGGCTTGACTGGATTAAGAGATTCTGGGAGAGGCAATTGGGTTGTGAGGGCACTAATCTCATCCACAAGTGCTTCCATTGATGACTTTATAACTGAATGGGCTGGAGGAGAAATAAGGCCTTGGGGATGATATCTGGGCCCTGGCCCCTTCCTTTCTTACGTTTCCCATGTTCTTTGCTTCCTGGATGTCATGCCCTCTGTCATGATGTTTCTTTCTTGGAGCCAAGCGACATGGGCTGAAAGCTCTGAAATCATGAGCCAAATAAATCTTTCCTTTAAGTTGTGAGTGTCAGGTATTTTGTCCCAGCAATAGGAAAGCTGAACAATGCAGTTACATTCTATTATGACACAGAACAACTAACTGCAAGATCACTCCTTTGCTTTTCAAGTACTGACTGGAGTGATAACTTTGATGGTAGCTACATAAATGCTATTATTATGTAACACATGCTGGTACTGGGCACACTCACTTGCTGGGCCCTTGTTCTGACACTCCACCATAGAACAGATCAGCTGGTCATTCTCCAACAGTGGTGGGATTTTTAAATTTTATTTTATTTTTTGTGGTACTGGTGGTGGAACTCAGGACCTTGTGCTTGCTAGGCAGATGCAGCGCCACTGAGCTGCATGCCTGGCCCTGAGATGTTCTTTCCACTGACTTCAGCCTGGCTCTCAGCCAGTCTTATATGTGGGCCACTGATGTCCATAGGCTGGGTGAAACACTGTCTCTGGAACCATTTGTTTTTATTTGATTTTTTATTTTTTGGTACTGGGGATTGAACTCGGGACCTTGTGCTTGCAAGGTAGGCGGCGGAACCACTGAGCTAAATCCTCGGCCTGGAACTATTTGCTTTTAAAAGTGAACTTTTTGTTAATGTAATGTTTGTTAACCCTAATACAACTATTAATCTTTTCCTTCTTTGTCCCTTAAAGAATGTTTGCTATACTCTCATTTTGTTATTCTGCTTTTAAATTAGAAAAAGCAAATGAAGAAAACCAAAATCATCTAATTATTCTTTGTCAGACAATTCTGTCCACTTTTGGGTCAATTTTCTTTCATTTGCAAAAAACTTATCTTTCCCTTTTTCTCCCTCTTCATTTCTTTTTTCTTCTTTTTAATCTTACTTTCTGCTTTCTTCATATTTTTTCTCTTAAAATTAGTTCAGTGAACATCATCATACAATTTTTTAATTCTTTTTTTTTTTTTTTTGATACCGGGGATTGAACTAGGGTCTTTGCAAGTGTAGGGAGATGATGGAACCACTGATCTAATTCCCAGGCCCCAATTTTTAATGATATTTAGAAATATTTTATTTGCACACTATTTCAGGCAGCTTACCAAAATACATATATCAGAAATGAACAGAACAAAATGTTAAAGAATAACAAGGAAAGCATAGCAAGAGTAACAATAATAGCCTGAGATCAGATGAATACAAAGAAATACAGTGAATTTATGCTATTGCTTGAAATGCAGTCATGAATTTATTTCTTGGTTTCATTGCAACTGAGACAGGGATGAAATCATATTTGTATGTAACTTATTGATACTACATGTTTAAAATATTAACATTGAAATAACTTTCTATTTCCTAGATTACTTGGCCATGGTATATTATTATTAAATATGTTGAATTCTATTAGACCAAACTTAATTTTTATTTTTAATATATGCTCACAGGTGAAATATCTGTATGCAGTGTTTGTTTTGGAAAAAATCAGTCTTGGTATAAGAAAACTGGCTGCCAAAGGTAAAAAGTGTCATGAGACTGAAGAAAGAGGCAGATTATTCCAAGACTGCACAAAGCACAATTTATTGGGAAATTATCAACAGAAATATGTCTTAGGTAGTTGCAGGAGGGGGAGATCCCTGCAGTTTAAGTCAGGAAGGAGGGGTTTATATGCTAAGATAAACAAAGGTGTTCTGTGGCCAACTGGAATATACCTAGACTTTTTGAAAAACTATTAATATCTGTAAATGTTAGTTAAGAAACATTTCAGGGGGCAGTGGCCAACATGACATGCTCAGCTGACTATCTTAACTCCATTTTCCTACAGTGTTTGGGATACATACTAAGGTCACCTGCTGGGCAAAGGGTTGTTGTCATATCGGGGGCTGAGATTTTTGTATGTTCTTGTGAGTTTTACTCTCCATTTCTAATGTTGCATCATTTTATTTCCCATTTCTAGTGATATTTTTCTTATCTAGAATAAAATTTTTAAAAAGTAGTTTAATTTT